GCTGGAAGGAGCCTTTCATTTGTCAGTGTTTGAGATCAAACCCTTTAATTAGTTTTTTGACCTTACTATTTGTCACAATTTATTTTCTAATCCTCGATGAACTTGTCAAGCTTATTTTTCAAGGATTTTTAAATCTTCCCTTCAGGAAAGTTGAATGTTTGAGTTAAAAATTTTCATCACTTTGTACGGGGGCGAATATATAACTCAACAGATGCTAGTTCTAATTGTCTACATTATAGAAATATAAAGTTTCCTGTTGGTTTTCCAACTTATGCATCACATTAGCGCTGGCTTGATTACATCTTCAGAATAAAATGACGTTTGAGACGATCTGATAAGCACTAACTTTTACATTAGATGGAGGTAAAGCTAGAAATGGGAAAAAATCCATTCAACATTCTTCATTTTGTTTTGGCCGCGTGGGGAATTATGTAACCCGTTATGTAATGTTTTAGCTCATTTCTACCAATTGAATCGAAACCTCGATATATTCATAATCTTGTTCGACATGAAGAACGGAAGCAGTTTAAAAACTGAAAGAGGTTTTTGTATTTGTCGTTATTTCGGTCGTGTTTAGCCTTTTCATATGGAAACTGAAAACAAGCCCTTTCTTAATTTCCTGCACGTTTATACTAAGCAGGTGTAACATTCGCTTCTTTTACAAATAACCCGGTGTTCTCTAAACCTTTCACAACAATCTGCATTACGTCCATCAGATAAAACAAGCGGCATACAATTTACGCTGCGTTATAAATTGGCCCTACGCGATTACAAAGATTTTTAGCAGCTCCACGCGAGGCGAGACAAAGACGGCCACGAGGTGCACTGCGGCACTGATCACCTACATGTTAAAACTTTTATAACAAGCGTCATGTTTCTAGTTGGCTATTAATACCACTAGTAACTGTCGACGGAGTGGGGACTGTTGAAGTGGGTTCAGTTGGGTCGAAGCTGTTCTCGCTGTCATCTTAAACGCTTCATGAAAGGTTCGAAGGCAACAACACGCAAGTGAGAAGTTGCTGTGACTATAAATCACGGTCTTGGCTATTATACAGGCAGTCATCAGTCATCGTATGAATACCTGGATTCATCCTGCTAGGCCCAAATCGTCTGTCGCCGATCGCTGAGGATTTTTAAAAGTCTCAAAATTTAATCATTCCTTTAAGTAAATATGACGAAGGATAGCTCTCACAGCTCGATCGCAGGGCTCACAGATGTGGAGGCAATCTTCCTTGCGTCTGTTAACGTTGTTCTCAGCCTCATTGGCATCTTCGGAAACTTGTTGGTCCTCTTTGTGGTCGTTCGTCACCGATACATGCACACAGTAACAAATATGTTTGTCGCTAGCCTGGCGATTGCTGATCTCTTGGTCTGTTTTGTGGCGCAACCGTTGTACGCCATATATCTTTATGGATTACCCTCGAACAAAATTTACAGTGACGTTCGAAAGACGTTGTCCTTCGTTTCCGTGCTTGCATCGATCAGCAACCTGGGGGCCGTGACGATGGACCGTTACATAGCCATCGTATGGCCCATGTCGTACGAGCTGAGGGTGACATGCAAGAGGGCGGCCATTCTGCTGTGTGTCATCTGGGTGGTATCGTTACTGCTTGGTATACCTGCAGGGATTCTTCCATCACTACAACGTATTGTAGTGTACTACGTTCTTGCTCTTGTGATTTTTATCGTCCCGATTTATGTCCGAATCTACATTGTCGCCCGCCGGCAGGCTCGTCTGATTGCCCGACAAGTGGGCCATTTGGACCGAAACTCACGCAGCAGAGGCGGCAAAGAGAACGTCGCTGCTAAGACCATTGGAAATGTCTTGACAGCGTTTATCATTTGCTGGCTTCCTCTCATAGTCATGCCGATTGTTTTCCGCTACATCGATGACGGCCGGAAAGTTAGAAAGATTTTGAAATGGGTACAGACAATCGCTCTGTGTTCTTCCGCACTAAATCCTGTAATATACAGCCTCAAAACGCAAATTTTTAAGAAGGATTTGCGAACAATTGGCCGCGCCATATTTCGACGCCGCGCTTGGGAAGAAAAGCCAGAGATTGTTTGAAGGAATCTAAGCAAGGAAACGTGTTATCTTAAGAAGCCCAGACATTTCTTCCCATATAACTGGAAACAGGACTGATGAGTTGACGATGCACTAGATAATTTAATCCTCCCTCTCCCCCAGTTTTACCGTGAAATTTCATCCTGTAGAAAGTTTATTTCCTAAGAGAAAAGTTTGTAAATTTCACCATAACCAACTCAGTAATTTCAATTATCGCCGCTTCTGGAGGATTATAGCAAGGAAGTGGCCCACAACAAGGCCTGATGACCATATGATTAGATTAGAGTTCACCAAGAGACATTTCAGCTTGGTAAAGAGTTCTTGGAGGGTCACTCACTTTAAAAGTTAGTCTAGAAAACATTTTCAGAGTAGTAAACCAGACTGAATTTATTGTTGTAAGTTTACATAGGAGGTCTCATAGTTGTAAAATAATTACTATTTATAAAACATTCTTAATCACGCATAGGTTAACCCCGACCGCCCTCGTTTGTAGTATCTGTTTGGAAGAGTTTATTAACTTCGCTTTGCGTTATTTATTTATTCCCAGTTATGTCAAATTTTCATTTTTTACGATAGTTGTGTGAATATTGTAGAGAGCTGTAAATAGATTTCACTGTAAATATATTGTTGTTCCGAGTCATCTAACGACATTGTAGCTAAGATGTAAAAAAGGAAAAAAGGAGTGCTGTAAAATACCATAAGCGATGTTGTTTTGATGGGTTATGAAAAGTCCATTTATTACCACATTTTATCGTTTGAGCGCCCACGTTTTAAATTCCTTCCTCTTGCACCAATAATCTCCCCTCACCCCATCCTTACTTTGTGATGATACCACAAGCAATAGTGTCTCACTCGAAAGTCTTTTTGGCATACCTTTGTTGCTTAATGAGGTCTGATCTTTGCTACTTTTTGTTGGGTGTTTTCTTGTACTGCTGAGGTCCTTCGCCGATGTTATTTGCGGTTTTTTATTTTACCACAAGAAGACAAAAAAATACGTTCATGAATACTTTTATTCTCCTTCTTTTCGACATGTTAATAACAGTTTTATATTACTTTTCATTACGTTCAATGTTGATTCCGGTGCTTTTTTTGTCGCAGACATCACTTTTGAAATATCTCTAGGTTGTTTCGAAACAATTAATTGCCTACTTCGAATGAAATCATAATATGCAGGAGAAAGTCCAAGATTGTTAATGAGATTTTGAGGACCACTTAATTGGCTAACGACAGGAAAAATTGTCAGATACTCGAAGAAAAACGTGGAAAACGTCCTGTAAAAACAAATGCGTGGGAAAGTTCAAAATCTATTAAAGAGGGCATACTTATCTTACGTTTAAATTAAGATATCTATGGCGTAGATCTTTAGACTGTTCGAATTTCCTGCTATAATAGGGCGGTATTTCTGGAATGACGTTCGTTTGTCAATTCGAACTAATCCTGACAAGAAGTAATGTTAAAAAGAACTCTGCTTTTAAAATTGTGCTTCTGCCAAAATTAAGACGACTTAAGAATAATCAGTTATTTTGCTGTCATCAGCTCCACTATATAGTCTTGTTCGGTATCT